ATTGCGTGTGTTTTGTGAGTTTGAGGAGGACTTTGTAGATCAATGTCGGACATATGGGCTAATGTTGGGCTTAGGACTTCGACTGGACTGGGTTGGGATGCTTAATGTACAATTACCCTTCATATAAAACTCTCTTATAAAATATGAGTGTTTATGAATTTTGTTTCTCTAACTAGACTAACACATTAGGCAACATCATCATCAATGGAGAAAGGGTTGAAGTTGTCAAGCGTTTTGTCCTTCTTGGTTCCACAATGCTGCTCGTGGAAGCAGCAGTCGAGATAAAAAGATGTTACTTTAAGGACTAAGGTTCGCCTGACCTAAGCCAGAGTATTCTCCATTGCATCATATGCATGTGAAAGCTAGACATTGAATAAAGAAGACCAAAGAACAATAGATACATTTGAATTGTGGTGCTGGAGAAGGCTATGGAAAACACCACGGATTGCTAAAAGGATGCATTGATCTGTCTTGGAAGACATATGGTTAAAGTACCCCATAGAGGCACAGATTGTGAGATTCTGTCTTACATACTTTGGGCATGCTGTCAGGAGACATCAGGCCCTGGAGAAAGACGTTATGTTTCACAAAGTCGAGGGGCAACAACAAAAACGAGAACCGTCTTCAAGGAGACGGGTTGATGCTGGAGCAACAATGGGCTCCAGCATAGGAGCAATTGTGAGGGTGGTGCAGAACCCGGCAGTGTTTTGTTCTGTTGCTCATAAGGTTGCTGTGGGTTCGATGGCACCTTGATGGCCCCTAACAACAGCCAAGGAAGGAGAGCTGGGGACAGGAGTTTTGCCCAGAAACAAGGCCCGGGAATGTCTGTTACTGTTTCAGCCAAAGACAGAGACCAGGTTGATTGAAGCAACTCTACATTTATTCTGAAACACGAGGCAGAGGGAAGCAGTTCCATTTGGGACCATCAAGAGGCTTTGAAAATCCAATGAAAATCAAGCCAGTATCTTAGACTATGTGACAGACGCTGGTTTTGGCAACGATCACAGGATACAATTATGCTCTATGAAGGCAGGTTTGCCAGGATCATTAGGAAATGATCTATATCTACATTTCTCCAGAGACTATTAAACCACCCCCTCCTGAATCCTATCCTCATGTGCCCCCTTTAAATCTAACCTAGGGGATGTGCCCTTTGAATCTAAATTAGGGGCCTTACCAGAAACACCCCTCACTACGCCCAAGTTCTATGAGTTGGGGATACTTGTGCCTGACCACTTATCTTAATGGCCTCGCTCAGCACTTTCCTGAGTTAGAACACTCCTATGGATTGAGCATAAAAGGAATTTTTACTACTAGGGAGGGGCTGTTACATTTTGGATCTTTAACAAACTAAATGTTCAACTAGGTTATAGTGCTAGTATTTTGGTAAACAGCAGGCTAGCTCTTTCATCCTCCCACAGGAGAAGGATATATATTTGTGGCTAGTTGCCTTTAGGAACAACAGCCTCCTTTTCCATGAAATCAGAAGAACTGGACGGTGCTTGGCTAACATTACTGAATGTTTTCATCAAAGATGCTGTGTAAAAAAATCCTGATCAGAGGCGGGAAATGCAGAATGGAATTTCAAAGTCTCATGGAATCCAGACATTCTGGAACCATGGAGGCTGAATCTACTGTCCTGAGATCATTAAGCCAAAAACATCCTCTTTGTAAAACCACACAAGAGGCTAGTTTGTCTAATAAGGAATGTCTACCTTGAACACGTGCTCTTTTAAGATTACATGGGTCTAAGACTATACTGTGCTCCTCTATCTACAGGGGATTTAATTGAGAGCAATAACGCAAAAGGTCAGATCGGAAGCTTATGGGGCAACGAGCTCATGTTGCTGGAGGAGAAACAATTCAGAAAATGAGGGAAAGAATGATTTTACAGCTTGAAGAATGTAATCAATATCACTGAGTTTTACACATAAAAAATGTTGAATTGACATACATTTTGCTATGTATACTTTAAGGATCACTTTTTAAAAAAGGTACTGAAAAAATTAAGTGGAAAGCATCTCTTGAGCATTTAATGACTTGTGACCCACTACTGGATGCTGATTCTGAGAATTCTCCACGTGTCCCATTCTTTGTAGTGAGAGAAAGGCCAAGAAGGGTTTTAGTAGGGAATGTGCACAGGGTGGCATATGTTCTATCCATGTGTGACCACAAGGGGGCGCCATCGATGTTCCTGCAGATCATTTCTGGTCCTTTTCCAAAGCGCAGGGCAAGGTGAGTTGGTGGCTCTGGTTGGACAGACAGGGATCGTGTGTCTCCTTTAGGTACAAACTTTGCTAACTTCTCGTTCCTCCTAATTTAGGGAAACAATACAGAAAAAAAGCTGAAGTGAAATTCCCAAATCAAACCAAAGCAGTTGCTGTACAGACAACCATGGCTCTTGGTGACCCCACAGGGGGTCAGGGTAGGACTCTGTGCTCACAGGGGTTTCAATGACTGGGTTTTCAGAAGTAGGTTACCAGGTCTTTCTTCCAAGGCGCCTGTCGGGGGACTTGAAACGGCAACTTTTGGGATAGCCACTGAGTGCATTAACTGTTCCTACCATCCAGCAGCTCCAAAGATGAACACCTCAAAAATGAACTACTTCTAGGCTTGGTGACCCTGTCGGGTAACCTTTGGACTGCTAACTGGACAGCCGTTCAAACCCTGCAGCCACTCTGAGGGCGTGGCTATCTGATCCTGTACAGATTTATAGCCCCGGAAACCCTATGTAGGACTGCTATGAGTTAGGATTGACTTTATGGCTATGTGCTTAATATTTTGGGTTTTTTTGGGGGTGGTAGGGGTGGGGGGTTAGCATAACCATGGGATAACGACGAGGATGTCTACTCCCATAAAGTGCTATCGTCTCAGAAACCCACAAGGGCGATTCTTCCCTGTCCTATAAGGTCACCATGAGTCAGAATCAGCTCGATGGGGGCGAGTCAGTTTGAGCATGCCTAGAATGGCAAACTAGAATTTCCGTAAGGTTCAACCTTCAGCAACTGTGCTCCACCATCTGGTTCTACAGTCTCTACCCAGAAGAACAACATGATACTAGTTCTTTCTTATATTGTGTTACCATTTTATCTTTCAATAATCACCCTCCTTCTTGTATACTTGAACATTCTAAGCACTCACATGACTTCCTTCAAACCCCAAGTGAGGTAACCTCAAAAACGAACCCACTGCCATCAAATCTGTGTTTGATGTGAACTCCTAGTGACCCTACAGGACAGGGTAGAACTTCCCTTGTGGGTTTCTGAGACTGGAACGCTTCATGGGAGCAGAAAGCCTCATCTTTCTAGGTGAGAAGGCTATTTCTAATCATTCCCATTTTACAGATGAGGAAAGGGAGGCACATGAACTTGAGTCCCTTGCTTAAGTTTAGACAACCGGAATGTGTTGGATCTGGGCTTCCAACCCACCCTTTAGGTAAACACTACAGGGGTGCCAGCTGTGTAGATCAATCCTCGTGGCAAGATTCTTTCCACAGCACCAAAAGCATTGTTTGAAACATCCCAGAGACTCAATGTCT